CGCACTCCACAACGCCAAACCAGTGCCAGAGATATACCTACAACAATTCTGGGGCCATATGCATACAGAGTCAGTGAAGGATCGCTCTAAGATTAAGACAAAGCTGAATGGTATGCGCGTAATCCTGACGCCGTCTACACTGCGATCCACTCTAGCGCTACCAGTACACGACACATATGATCCTCTGCCGTCCATTCCTGACCTTCTCAAGGACGTTGCAGCTCTAGGCTACACATCTCTTCTTCCCCAGCTGTCAAATTTCAATGGAGCCTATCTCCATCACCCGTGGAAGAGCCTATTCGGGTTGGTGAACAAATGCCTGTCACCGAAGCATGCCGGGTTTGACAAATGCAACAAGCAGATTCTACTCATCTTCCACGGCATTGCATATAACAAGAACTACGACATGGCTCAGCTCTTCTTCTCAGAGCTCATGGACCTGGTAAAAGCAAAGGAGAAAAACTGGTCAGGCACCATCCCATAAGCCAGGTGGCTGGGGCTGATTATCCATGACTGCATGGCAGAGCACACCTCCATTCCTAAACGCAGTGCCGATCTACACTTCACAGCCCCAAAGCTCCAATATTTCAAAGCTGACAAGAACGCGGCTCAAGGCTTGCGGATTCCTGGGTTCCTGCTAAATCTCGCCAATCCGTACAATCCTGCAGTCCAACAGTACCGCGAGAGTGTTGAGAGAACTGTCCCTATGGTTCAGCAAAACCCAGCTAGACCTACCCCGGGGACAAAGCTGAGTGCACGTGAGGGTCCTAAGAGAGCCCAAAAGCCACGGAAACTAGTGGCCGGTTTGCCCCATGAAGGAAAGTCCGACGACTCTCTCGAGATGAGTCGGACGGCTGAGGGCACCGAAACAGACGCTGAGGGCACCGAAACAGACGCTGAGGAATCTGCTGATGAATCGTCCAGTGATGCCCAAACTAACACTGACGATGAGGCATCCGATAGCGTGGGTACAGATGGCGATGAGTCAGACTCTGATGACGATGGTGATGACAACGAAGACGTTGAGCATAACTATGCTCTGATCAGAAAGGGTAAGCTGCCTGCCGAATCTCCAAAGAAGATAACCGCTGAAGACGCATCACCCATAATCGCCGGCAGACCCAAGATCTTCACCATCAAGGAATTGCAAAATTCCAAAAGCGTACACAGAGAAACCAACAGCTCCAAGGCTGACTATGATGAAGCAGCCCACGCCATCAAGAACTCTAAGGATGCCATCATTCGCGAGAAACGGGCCAAAATAAAGAATGACAAATCTGCTAAGCCAAAGCCTCAGCCTCGCATCAGAAAGAGCCTCATAGATAAGGCTGACGAGCACATCTTCGCTGGCTGTGACCCTTTTATCCAGATAAGCCGAGCTGAATCCCTAAGTACAGGAGCCGATCTTTTCGGTTCCCGAGTAGAAGCCGTAGCATCTGGCTCAACTGCGCATGCACAGCCCTCACCCAGCCACTCGTTAGCCTCCTAACAGGCTATCGTTTCAACAACATGGGACTCACCCACCTCTCTGGTTCCTTCCGAATCAGTTGAGCGAACCATTGGCCAATCGCCCGAGGTCAAAACCCCTCCTTCAAACACATCGAGTCTAGGTGTCACATTTCCCACATTTTCTTCATTTTCTAGGACACCTACACTATTCACAGCACATACAGGTGCACCCACCCAGAACGCAATGACCAGAGCGCAAGCTATGACGGTCGGAAGTCCTGTTATGCCTTCAATGATTCCATCATTGCACGCAGGCCACACATCAACTATCTTCACTGATGCTGTGACAACAGTTACAACCCCCGTTACTGGCCACCCCACCTTTGAAGATGTCAACGTTCTCCTGAATCGCTTCCTGGATTCCACCATCAAACCATGGGTGCAAGAAGCAATGACCGCTCTTGCAAAGGAATTTAGGACCACCCAAACGGTTCAGCCTGAACATCCCACAGCCCAACCTACACCCGAACCCTTCATCTCTCATACCCAATCAATATCTTCCACAGCCCTCTCTCACCACTCCATCAACCAAATACCCATCCCCTCACCTTCTCGGGGCACCCATGATACAGAACCAGTATTTTCCCCACGCCCGACCACACCTTCCATCGATCTCCCTTCGCTACCATTCGAAACCTTGGCATCGGCTTTCCTAGACCATCTCCTCAACATCCCAGAAACCAACCTCACCCTCCACCAGCAAGCCATCCTCGATGCCCTCCTCTCTTCCCCTGAAACCAAGAGCAAATGCCATGACAGTCCTCGAGGTCGCAAACGTTCCCATGAGGACCCCGACGATTCGGCCACGAACAAGCGGCCACGAACACTCGAGCAAACTGCTTTAGCCAGCCACACTCCACAGCCCGTTTAACCTGAAACCTCTACCAACCAACAGCCACCCGTAACCAAACTTTCTAGCCTGGTCGAGCTAGATGAAACACCCCGAGGCGTATCTCCAAAAGATACCAACCGAGGAGGGGATGGAAGTCCTGATGATGCTACTACTGGTATATCTTATAAGTGAGGCCATCAGTTAGAACCTCGTTCGAAGCTGATGACAACGGGAAATCCTAATGACCCCGGTGTCCCAGTTAACAGGTCTCCGTCACTACAAGATCAACCAGCTACTACCATTCTGTCATTAGATGAAATGCACGATCAACTTGAGGATATCATCATTCACGACAAATGGCCGAGATAGTGGACGGAGATGGATCAAATCATGCAGGATGAAGAATGTGAAGATATGCAAAGGAACTGGTTCTTACGAGAACTCATTAACAAATGTGCAGAGGACATAATCAGGCTCGAGGATGATGAACGAAAGGAAGGGGAAAACTACAAGGAAACTCAGAAAGAACTTGAATCTGTTGTCAGAAAAACGGCGGGACGACTTCCCAAGACAGAGAAACCTTGGGAAAATGTACGCATCAAAGCCCCCTTCCAAGAGGAAATTAGAGAGCGTATATGGCGTAGACCAGAGAAAGTCAGACCTCTGAACGAACTAAAGCTGCGTGGACTCACCCATCTCAAAGGAAAGCAGGCAGGAGGTCATCTTCATATGCTGATGCAATGGTCAACCGGGACTCAACGAGAGCTGATGGAACAGGATCTGAAATCCAACATTCTCCCAATTCATCAAATCCTACAGGTCAAGGCTGAGGATTATCATGGAGTGAGATTCTACTCTTACAAACTTCAACGCACCGATGGGAGTGAATTCACATGCCAGGAAAACGATTTCATCATGCTCAAACCAGACGACATCTATCAAATGTTCATGGCATACAGATACCTCCCAGTCAGACAAAGCAGAACATACAGCGAAGGCCTCACAGCAATCAAGAGGTTCATGCTCAGACAAGTCAGAGTTCACTCATCTCACGACCTACAGATGGCTATCGAGTGCAACATGACAAAAACAAATCTAACAAAGCCAAGACTGTATGGTCCAGAGCTCGAGGACTTCCCTGCATACCACATCTTCTTCACACCGCCAACAGTCACATATCTCAACCACAAGAATGAAAAACGTCTGATGATGGTTAGCGAAGTTGAGAAATACTGTGATGGAACGCTGAAGATCATCAGAGAACAACTGCTGAAGATGAAGGAACAGCTAGAGCAAAAACTTGAGGAGGCATCGTCATACATTCAAAAGGAACATTCAACACTAGAAATCATTCTAAAAGCCATCGACGATCGCCTGGACAAGAGAAACATGCTGAGACAATATGAGCACGCGCTAAATATGAGGAAGCACTACTTCAAAGCTCAGAAGCAATAACAAGGTGGCAGTTGATCACAAAGGGGGAGATTGTTGAAGATCATTTAATTGTGAATCAAGTTTGTCACCTATCTTGTAATAGATTAGCTTTATATTATCCGTGTACTCAATATTTGTATTTATTAGGTTAAAGAATATGGGACCAAGTGTCAGGCCCATATCAGACTGAAAGCCTTTCCCGACAACCCTATACCTGCGCATATAAAAAGGCGCCTCAGGTTTAGGGTTGCGTTAACTTTCGTACTCATTCCAAATAGCCTTAGCGCAAATTCTTCTCTTTACGAGTTCACGGTATATCAAGGAAGGTTTACATCGATCTATCAGTGTTCATCTTTACTGTTAATCTTCTACTTGTTATACTGTTGATCTTTGCTGTAATAGAAAACAAGGACTAACACTACCCATTTAGACACATACTCGACAACAACTAGAATATAAAGTTTACCATTAGAAAGAGGAAATGGACCCATAAAGTCCAGTCCCACAAATCAAACAATTCAACTTCAAAAATACCTTGTTGAGGCATTTCATGCCTCTTACCGATGGTTCCAGTGCGTTGGCATCTATCGCATGCCATCAAAAAGCTCCTTGTGTCTTTAAAAAGAGTTGGCCAATAGAATCCGCTTTGAAGAACTTTTGCTGCTGTCCGTTAAGCCCCATGATGACCACCGTAAGGCAAAGAATGGCAGTCATTAAGAATCTGGACCATCTCTTCTTCGGGCACACATCTCCTCACAATTCCGTCAGCACATCGTATAAAGAGTAAGGGATCGTCCCACATATAATGCTTGATATCGACGAAGAACTTTTTTTTTCTGGTGGTAACTTAGGCCATGCGGAACAATGTTAGAAACTAGAAAATTCACATAATCAGCAAACCAAGGAACCACAGTCTTATCAATGGCCCAAAGGCCCTCATCTGGGAACTAATCATTTATTGGGTTCTCACAAATACCAGCTTGTGTATTCTCTAAACGAGACAAGTGGTCAGCAACAAGGTTTCTGACCCCTTTTTGTCTCTTATTTCTAAATCAAACTCCTGCAGCAGTAAAACCCATCTTATTAGTCTAGGTTTCACATCTATCATTGACAGAAGATACCTCAGTGCAGAGTGATCAGTAAAAACTATCACCTTTGATCCTACAAGGTAAGAACGAAAATTATCGAGAGCAAAAACAAACGCTAAATACTCCTTTTCTGTAGTTGCATAATTAATCTGAGCATCATTTAAAACCCTACTGGCATAACAAATAACATGCAAATTATTCTCTCTTCAAGAACAACTATAATTGGAGAAGAAGTTAAAGCTTGCTTCAAAACATGAAAAGCATGCAAACAGTTTTCATCCATCACAAAAGTGTTTCTTTCACTAGTAAATTACGGAGAGGTTTGAAAATATAGACATGACACATCTTTGAAAATTAGCACGTGCATTACAGACGGTGTCACAAATACACACACGAGAAAAATGAGGAGAGAGAAACTCTCCCATGTCTCTAAAATTTCATCCAACTAAAGTTGGAAATGGATTACGGGCACCACACTCGCCGGAATTATTCCCGTCAATTAGTGCACTCCGATGAATTTTGCCCAAGTCTTGAGAGCTGGTTTGATTTACCGCCGCTAATCCCAGGGGTTCGTCACAGGAGACAACCAATTCAGGCATACGACCTACACCCTCAATCTCGAAGGGCAACAATTAGGCAAAAAACAGTTGCTCCTTTCAATCACCAAATCTACAAAAATTCTAAGTTCGTCAAACACAGATGCAGGTTCCAAGCACCGTCCAAGGTCCACTCGAGCTGGCAACAGAGGCATCAACCGATCTCAGGCCGATATCAAGCGCCGCTCAACTCCTTCTTGGAGGATCCGGAACCATGGACCTCTGTCCACCACAAAAATCAACACCGACGCCGACGCCCCAATCAACACCTTCACCGGCGAATCGGGACCGCCACCTGCAGAACACCGGGTACGTCGACCGTTTTTCCCCTTTAGCTCAGGAAGACGTCACTTCGAACCCTCTCTTACATTCACAAATATCCTCCCATGGTTTCCTGAACAACGGGTCACGCGAAATCCAGAAAATAAAGTCCAGACCTGCAATCGGAAAATCAACTAACCTAAAGGACGAAAGACTCCTTATGCCAGGCCTGATATGTCCCAGCATACCTGGTAGGGAAGTTACCAAAAAGGTGTGGTCATCGGAAAACAGGGGCCTAAGCTCCCAGGGGGGCATCGGGTAAAATAAGGCTTTACTGGTTAAGTCTACAGATTCTGTAGAACCAGGTTTAGTCGCAACTCCAGCTCACGGCGGAGCAGAAGAATCGCCGGAAATAATACAAACCGACACTCAACCAATTACGGTACCTGCGCAGGGAACCTCCATCAAGATAAGGCCAGATAGCCTGGTGGAGATAAATAACCCCATACAAAAAATGGACTCTAATCTTGATGTGACAGATAGAGAGTGGGGTTCTGTCCCAATACTTGCAGAGATCCTATGCATTTTTAGCATAGTAACCCCTCATAGCAATTGACGGGATTCGAATCCGAGACCTAACCCTTGTGATACTCTCTTGCTACCAGTTGAGTTACGTCCACCGGTACCCGACAACTTTAGTACGCAGACTATCTTGGGTTGAAATAGTGCTGCGGGTAGTAGACACAAGTGGAGTCTAGGCCAGCACATCTCTTGCAATCCAGCAAACCTCAAAAAATAAAGATACTAGTATCTTAGACACCACGTACTCGACCAAAAAAATTGAGTCAATGCCCTCTCAAGCCACGCTAAAGGATACTATCAATAATTGTGAGAAGTTTCATTTTTAGGGGGAAGAGGGTTTTGTTTCCATCAAAATAGAATCAAAACTGTTCAGATTTGCTGCCACAGAAAATGAAATTGAAATTTTTGAGATGCAAAAATCCTTGCTAAGAAGGATCAATTTCAGAACACATGCTGCTCCACAAATCAACTGCCACATTTTACAAATCACAGGTCCAAATAATAATAACCTCATACAGAGCAGAAAAGTTGGGAATATCACAATCTCCACTCAACTCAAAAAATCTAGATCTCATCTGAAGATTTCTAAAGAAAATGGGACCTCCATTGTAGTCCCCATGGGCCCACTCAATTCCAATTTCAATTTTTTTTTTGACATTATTCTCTAATTTTGTTGAATTATCTTCTGAGCAGGAAGAAATCAGTCATGGGGAGCACACAGCAGGTGACTCTGAGGAAATCACCATTTCCAAACTCGATTTTAACTATGAGGTACAAAGAGCATTCGGGAATGTGTCAAATGAGATCGGAGAGGAGTTTGATATCCATACCCCAACAAAAATAACTGCTGATGTCGACAACATAGTGACAATGGGGGAAGTTCAAAAATTTAAGCCAACCCATTTAACATATGACTCCACAGAAGGACTGAAAACTAGAAGTCAGTCAAAACGCTCCAAGATGAGGAAGACTATTTCCTCTACCCGGTTTACTCAAACTATGACTCACCCCAAAAGCTAGCAACATGTCTCGAACGTTACAAGTCGTCACACTCAGAAACAAAGTCTTACCCCCCTATCTCCAAAGGGCTATCCATTTTCAGTCCAGGGGCGTAGCTAGGATTGAAGGTTGAGCTGGGCCGGTACAAAGAATTTTTCTGATAATTTTTTTTCACATGAATTTTTAGACTAAAAATACAAAGAATTTTCAAATTTGGGGCGGGCCGTGGCCCGGTTGGCCATCCCTCTAGCTCCGCCCCTGATTTTCACCACAAATACAATTCGCTGCTCTCAGCCAAAGTGGGTGTGCCCACAACGTACATTATTTGTTAACTTTTTCCTTGCGACTTTCTCTTGTAATTTCCATTATCGATTTTTGTACTTACAATCCTTTTTATAATAAAATGGAAAGTATTCCCCAGCGCTTTCCCCACTTTCAGTGGTATTTTCGGGGAAAAAAATAGCATGTGCATTACAAAGACCAAAAGACATTCTTATAAAAGCAAACGTACCAAACGGGCACGTAAATGTGGTTTTTTCCTGATCTTCTGGGGCAATAGGAATTTGAAAATAACCAGAAAACTCATCAAGAAAACAGTAATATGCATAACCAGCTAAGCGTTCTAACATCTGATCAATGAAAGGTAGCGGGAAATGATCTCTTCGAGTCGCAACATTAAGTTTTCTATAGTCTATACAAACCCTCCACATAGTCACAGTCCTAGTAGGTATTAATTCATTTTTATCATTACTAACAACAGTAATACCCCCTTTTTTTGGAACAACCTGAACTGGGCTAACCCACGAGCTATCTGAGATAGGATAAATAATACCTGAATCCAGCAACTTATGAATTTCTGCCCGCACAACTTCTTTCATGTTAGGGTTAAGACGTTGTTGAGTTTTAATCCCGTAGATCCGAAAGCCCAACACAGACTTTGTATATATCAGGAAATGGACAATAATTTGGTATGTAAAAGAAATATAAAAGATCGATAATCGAATGCTCAAAAGCCCACTTGTATTAATTGACCTGTTTGATTACAATGAAATTTCCCGAACGGTACGTCGGATTGATGCTTAATACAAGAAACAAGAGTAATAAGGCTATTCTAGGGCTTGAGTATTAAAATGCTAACCCTTACAATGATATTAAACCTTCTATTTATACTAATGGAGAGTATGGGACGCTTTATGCTGATTGGCCGATGTTCCACCGACTTGATCACCCATGCCTCCACTTGATGATGTCACAATTTGGCATTAATTGCACCTGGCCACCTGCTGGTTGTCCGTTGCCCGAACAGGATAATGGGTCCTGTGTAAAACATTGTTAATTTGGCCCAAGTATGATGTATGACCCGAACCCCGTTCGGTATGTCTGTTTTCTGGGCCAGCCTTTACTTGGCCCGAACCTCGTTTGGTATGAATATCTCACTGGGTCTACTTATCATAGGGTAGTGGACTCGTTGTCTGGGCTGGATATCCTGGGCCTTTAATCCGGGTATTGGGCCTCCGGGCCAATATCCCAACACGAATCCCCCACTTCCGATGTCTCGAATGACAGTGAGTGCATTAGGAAGTATAAGTGCCATGATATAAATGTCGAATGTCGATCGGGGTACAGAAGTGGTCAGTTCCCCATACTGTGATTTGATGGCTGTCGTTTGATTTTTCCCATATTCGTCATGATTGTTGATCTTTGCTCTTCCATGTGACACGTGTTATTTCAAATAGTTTCAGTGATGTGTCTCTATTTGATTGGTCTTTGATACGGCGTTTGTAAGGCTATAAATTAGCCTTTAGCTCCTCAAATCCGGGTTTCGAATTTTCAATCTCTTCGTGCTTTAACTCTGCCTTTTCTCTCAATCCCTTCAAGCTTTTCGTGTTCAGGTACTTCTCATCCCTTTAAATCTCTCTTTTCTTTGATCCGATTGTTATGAGTTCTCGACTGTGTTCCGATTCGGAAATGGCTTCCCAAGGGGAAGACCATGATGTGGAGATTATCATCGTCCCTTTTGTTGAGGGCTCCAATGCGGCGACGACGGAGATTAGGGTGGAGACGGAGGATTCCTTCGACAGTTCTTCTTCCTCCAGTGAAGATTCCGATGACACCAGGTCTGATGATGAACTGGTTTCCATGGCGGCCGGACGTCCCAACGATTTCCCTCGACACACGCTTGACCTAAGACTGATTAGGGAGAGGCGGCAAAAACTGACTTCTCACAACAGGGCCGAAATTCCGGCCCTAATCCCAGACCCAGTGGACTTCCGATTGCGAGCTGGGCTTCACCCAATGCACCATACCCCTGGGATGGTTGTAGTCCACTTCGATTCAGTTAGGGCCGGGCTTAGGTTTCCATTGCATTCCTTTTTCGTTTTTTTTAATTTCTACGAAATTGTACCGGCCTAAGTCATGCCGAACTCCTATCGGGCAATGGCAGGCTTTATTTGCCGTTGTAAAGATGCCGGTGCCCCGCCGACCCTAGACTTATTTCACCAATTTTTTAAAGTGGCCCCGCAACAAACACATGGATATCTGGCTACTAGTGCCCGAACGGGACATATCCTGTTTAAGGGCAATCCGACTTCAATCAAGAGGTGGAAAGATCGGTTCTTCTTTGTGTCTGTCCCGGACGGCCTGATCCCCCACAAATGGAATGCCATCCCTCGCAAATCTCCCGATCCAGTCCTTACTGAGGAAATTTACAAGGATGTGCTCGCTGTGGAGAATGACAAATGTTGTGACATCATGAGTTACTTGACTCCCGATCGGCTTATCGAAGCCGGGATAGGTACTGCCCGTTCTCTTGGGTTTACTTGTTTTGAGAATCAAGTGCCATAGTCCGGGCGGTCCTTCCCGTGCGAGAAACGTTCTCTTCTTTTTTGTTTCCCCACGTGATAAGGCCGCTCGGTACTAACATTTTCCTTTGTTATTTTTTAGCTCCCAATCCAGACGCACCAATGGACAACAGCCGTGTTCTGGCAGCCAGTGGGGTCGGGAAATGGAAGAAAGCCAGGAAGAACCCCCAACCCACTCCTTCCACTATCATCGCTCAGGATGCCGGATCTTCTATACCCGTTCAGGAGCCACAACCGCTGCAGCAGGTCCTTCATCAGGATCAATTTGACGCCATGCTGGTCGACGATCGATTCAGATCTGATCAGCTGCATCAATTTCCTGAGCATTTCCAGGCTGCTCAGGAGACTGGTCAGGGTACGGGTGATATGCATACCGTCCATCTATCTGGCCAGGTCGACCGGATCTCATTGGCAGATCCTGTTCATGAAGTTGTAGAAAAGGGTGGATGCTCGGCAAGTTAGATCTGGTCTACCTCCGCATTTTTCAACAACTTTACTGTTCCCAAGCTGCCGAACGAGCAGTCTGAGGAATGCTTGGCTTTAGCGGCCCTGAAGGTACTTTACTTTTCACTATTGCAATAACTTGTTATATATGTTAATCTTTGCTCTCAAACTTCATTACCTTATTTCTCGAACGACATTCTGTAGGTTGGGCTCTACAACCTGCAACTGAGGGATGCCCGGCTGGCCAAAGAGCGGGAGATGATTGTTGCTCAGACTTCTGCAGAACAGAATGCTGCTGTTGCCCTTGCAAAGTTGGAGGCCGAACGGAAATCCTTTGCCGAGGAGAGGCAGAAGTTTGAGAATGAAGTGGGGGGGGGGGGGGGGGGTTGCGGGTTCAGCTGGCCACTGCCCAGGCTAAGGTTTCTGCACCTGAAGCCGTCCAGGTCAAGTTTGTAGAGACGGTTCCCCGCATCCCTGACGGTCCGGCTGAAATTGACGTGGATCTGTCTGCCGTTCGGGAAACGTTTAAATCTTCTGAGGAGTTTGCTGCCCTAAAATGGGAATATACACAGCAGGAGCTCCCGTTTACTTTTGGAGCCTTTCTCGACCAATTCCCCAAGAGTGACGCTCGGCATACAGAAGGGGTAAAGCTGCTCGATTGGGATCCAAGGGGTAAGAAATTCAATGATTCCATGGCTCAATCACTCTATGTCATGGGCTGCCAGCATGTCTTGATACCCTTCGTGGCCAAGCTCCAAGAAACGCTGGGAAGGCCGGTCGAGCTTGCTGATCTTCCCTTGGTTCCGATCGTTGAAGTCCAATTCGAGAAGTATCAGCGAGACCTACAACGGGTTGCCGATCGAGAAGCAGGGAAAGATGCTGATCCTCCTAGTGATTCAGATGATGATGACGATATTGAAAAAGAAGGGGATAAAGAGGCTGTTGATCAATAGATTAGATTTTTAGTAACTTGTAATATTTTTCCCCTTATCCTTTTTTGCACATCACCCTTGTACTTTCCGGCCAGTAGAGCCGATGAATATATATGATATCTTTTTTGTACAAAGCTTCACATATTGTCTTTCTTGCCTTTATCGATTTATTGCTTACCATTTGGGATTCAGTTCGTTTTATAGGACTTAACAGTTTTTCTGGCCTCATTTTTTATCATTCTTCATATCATCGTTCGGGTTTCAGATAGTTCTGATAATTTACCAGGACTTGGCCCCTCTTTTGTGTCGATAGCCGCTCGGGCATCAGATAGTTCTGTAGGACTTAGTCGTTTAGTGAATCTTTTGTTTCTGATGTTCCATCTATTCCACCTAACTGTTAATAGAAACCCTGTTCAGTTTATCTTGCTGGCCCTATCTTTTGACTCATCCGAATCCTGAATTTTCCCCATCTCGCTGATTTCTATCTGTTGTTCTTCAAATACTACCCGTTCGGTGTCTCTAAAGATACTGGTTTCAAACTTATGGCTTACGTCGACCTTGGTCTGGGATGTCTCCCATACGTTCATCGTTCAATCTTTTTAGGATGGCTTCCCCAAAACTGTTGATCCGTTTTCATGAATTGCCCATTAACCGTTCGGGGAACGTGCTAAATTACCATAAATGTACCATAATTTCGTACAACCACATTTCACCATGTGTTCTCCATGGGTTAGGGTTTTGGGCGGCATCTTTGCTTATAAATAGAGGTTCTTCTTCTTAATTTCTTCTGTTGCTTCCTTAATCTCTTCTTGTGTCTCTCTAAGCTTTCTCTTTCTAGAATTTTCAAGACTCCTTAAGTGGTTTTATGTATTTTTCTTCTAGCTCAGAATCTGAGGAAATGCCACTTATCCGTATGGGAAAAACTCCTGTTGTAAACAAGGCCGAAGGCTCTTCTTCCCAAGTACCTAATTCCTCTAAACCTCCCCTACTCAAAGATGCCGAACAACCTCTTGACGACGGATGCCTTTCGGGAGATGACGTAAAGATTTATAATAAGGGAATGCCCGAATGGCCACCCCGCATTGCTTTGCATTTCACCCGCATTCGCAAACAAAAGCAACGTCTTCCTGAAGACGCCGAATGGCAACTTGGCCAACTTCTGCCTCCGCCTAGAGAATTTTATGCCGGATTGATCAGGCACCCTATGAGGCACCGACCGGGGCACGTGCTTATGCACCTTGATGCATTGATCGCTGGGCTTCGCTTCCCTCTACATCCGTTCGTGGTGGAGTTCCTGCATCGGGTCTCCGTACTTCCCACTCAGTTCATACCCAGCACCTATCGCATTCTGTCTAGCTTCATAATCTGATGCCAGGAACTACGGATCGCACCAAGTGTCGATTTATTTTTACACCATTACTGCTATCAGCCCTATTGGACTACTGGGTACCTGAAGCTGGTAGCCCGAGCTGACCATCAATTATTTACGGATAACCCTACTCCGCCGGCTGATTGGGAGGAACGGTTTCTTTTTGTGCATATAGGCGATTCTCTCCCATTCCCTGATCGGTGGAACGCTTACCCCGTTCGGGACTCTGAGCCCAGAATAGATGCCGTTCTGCGCTCTCAAGCCGAATCTCTACGTATGGGAGGAACTCGGAGTCTTCGGGGTTTTATTACCCCTTCTAATATGCTAAATACTGGGATTGGTAAGTGTAACAGGTTTTTAATCCGATCGATCTCCTTTCAATTTAGTTTCTTATCTCTTATTCCCTCTCTTGTAGGTGTGATATCCCCTATACCCGTGCGGCGTTCCAGATCTGCCGCTACTCTGACTGCTTCCTTCAGAAAAGGCAAGGAGAAGATGATTGTTGATCATGCCTCTTCTGATCAAACCAGGAAGAAGCGTAAAGGGAATGACAGCAGCATACTGATCCCGGTCGATCACGTGGTTGATTTGACCGGTCCGGATGACAAGCTGAAGAGACCTATCATCCCTGCCCAGCCCCAAACTCCAGTGTTTAACAATACACCGGTCGATGATCGGATGTTTGTGGAGTTTTCCAATTTGGGGCCCCGAGCAGAGGGAAGGTACCTGTTCGGGAAGATGCCATCCTCTATGTGGTGCAGTACCTCCCTGAAGGTTCCACCCAGTTTTTCTACTCCGACCCATTGGTCTAACCTAGTCGAGGCAGGTCACTTGGAAACTCTTAAGGTGCGGATCAGTCATCAACCCCTTTGAAACCTTGATTTTCTTCTGATTTAGTATACGTTATCTAATTTCCTTTTTTACTGTTTGTAGGCAGGAGTATACTATCACCGGGCCTTCCTGACTGCAGAACAGGAGATGAAGCGTATAACCAATGATCGGGAAGATAGCCAGGTTCTCCTTTCCGCCGCTCGGAAGCTGGTTGCAGATCTGCAAGTTCGTGTTGATGAAGGTGAACAAGTGAAGGCTGATCTGGCTAAGGTGGATGAGAGGGCCCGACGTCGTGATCGTGAAATTAGAGATCTCAGAGCCAAGGTGAGAGCGGCTGAATCTGCTGGGATGCGGTTTGATAAATCAGCGGGGAATAATCCTCCCGAGCCGTATATTGCCAACACCTCCAAGATCACTAATCAGGCCTTGATCGAATATAAACGCAGTAAAGGATTGGATATCGCTTTACAGAACACCGCTCGACAATTTTTGGGACCTCATCTGGGCCAATTCTTGCGTGAGAGCGAAGACCCGATCAAGTCGGGAATAGAGCTTCTGGATAGCATGCCCGAAGGGAAATCTTTCTGGGATGTCCTGACGGAGAAAACTGTGAAGCAAAGTCAAGATCTGCTTCTAGACAGGAACCTCGACCTGATCATGGAACGCTTCCCCAAGCCGTTCGATCCTGATGAGTTGGGATTTGATGACCTGTTCGGGAATACTTACGATCGGGTTATGGAGATGAGACAGAAAGCGATCCCTGATGATGCAGCACAGGCCGGCAGCACTCAACCTCAATCTTCCCCGAACGGCAGTCGTCCAATAGAGTAGTCCATCTTTGTAATCTTATTCTTGTTTTTCTTGTACTTTCCGGCCAGTAGTGCCGAAGAATAAAGCTCGATTTTATACACAATCTTGTCTTTTCAAATGCCTCTTTTCTTTCTTTCTTTCTTTCTTTCTTTCTTTCTTTCTTTCTTTCTTTCCGGACGCTACTCGGATTCGTCCATACTTATAGTTTTGACATCATCTCCCAGCCATTTTGAACGAGTCAAATTCTGCTAGCTAAAATGATGGCTCCCTCCAAACTGTTAACACGTTCGTCATTCGGTCATCCGGAATGATTCTACGTGTTAAAAGCTGAGGTGAGACTCTCTCTCTTCTAAACCCACAATTCCGATGCATTCTGAAGAGTTTCCTCGATCCGTATCATCCATATTAGGGGTTTGAGGTGACCACTTTAAAACTGTAAGCAAGATCACTAGGTTGGGTGATTTCTTACTTAAGCTAAAATGGCGGCTCCCTCCAAACTGTTAACCCGTTCGTCACTCGGTCATCCGGAATGATTCTACGTGTTAACAAGCTGAGATGAGACTTCCTGAAAGCAGTGCCTCCCCGGACGACAATCCATGTTACCGAACGTCGCTCGTTTTGACAATACTTGTTTTGACACCATCTCCAAGCCGTTTTGATCCCTTTTCCGTTCGTGATCACAGGGTCAAAATCTTTTAGGTGAAGTGATTCCCCCCCAAGCCGTTTTGGTACCTATATTCGTTTGTGAGCACATGGTCAAAAACTGTTAGCAGAAATGATTGCTCCCTCCAAACTGTTAACACGTTCGTCATTCGGTCATCCGGAATGATTCTTCGTGTTCAAAGCTGAGGTGAGACTCTCTCCCTTCCAAACCCATAATTCCGATGCATTCCAAAGAGTTTCCTTGATCCATATCATCCATATTAGGGGTTTGAGGTGACAACTTTAAAACTGTAAGCAAGATGGCCCGATCGGGTGATTTCTTACTTGAGCTAAAATGGCGGCTCCCTCCAAACTGTTAACCCGTTCGTCATTCGGTCATCCGAAATGATTCTACGTGTTAACAAGCTGAGGTGAGACTTTCTAAAAGCAGTGCCTCCCCGAACGATAATCCATGTTACCGAACATTGCTCGTTTTGACAATACTCGTTTCTGACACCATCTCCAAGCCGTTTTGATCCCTTTTTTGTTCGTGATCACGGGGTCAAAATCTTTTAGCTGAAGTGGCGGCTCCCCCAAACTGTTAACACGGAAGTCATTTATTTGGAGTGACTATACACGTTAAAAGCTGAGGTGAGACTCTCTAGAAGTTATGTCTCCCTCTCATTCTTTTTTTTAAGAGGTGGCAACAGCCGTTTTTATTGATAAATTTTCCTTAGATGCTCCACATTCCAAGTCCCTGCCGGCCGGCCTTCGGTAGATTGCAGATCGAACGTTCCTGAAGCATATTTTTTGCAGACCTCGTAAGGGTCTTCCCAATTTTGTGCCATTTTTCCTCCTTCGAGAGGTTTGCTCTTTTCCCGCTTCTTCAGGACCAAGTCTCCTACCTCGATCGATCGGATTTTCACTTGTTTATTGAAGTATCTCCTTGTCGCTCTATGATATTCCTCCATTCGTATTGCAGCTAAGTCCCTCCTTTCCTCTATGAAGTGCATTTCGGCCCGTAGATTATCCTCATTGCGTCTGGGGTCATAATGTACCGTTCGATGTGTGGGAACCAGAATTTCTGTTGGAACTTTAGCCTGGAATCCGTAGGTAAGGGCAAACGGAGTCTCTCCAGTAGCCGTTCGGGTGTCGTTCTGTATGTCCACAAGATATTATTCAATTGGTCCGGCCATGAGGAGGAACAATGCTCTAGTTTTTTCTTCATACCATCCATAATGGTACGGTTCATATTTTCTACTCGGCCATTCGCCTGAGGTACGCTACAGACGCTCTGGAATGTTTGATTTGCCATTTGACCAAATAGTTTTCGAAGTTACGGCTCACGAACTGCCTGCCATTATCTGTGATGATCTGTTCGGGGAGACCGAATCGGCAAATGATATTCTGCGAGACGAACTTTTGGCATTTGAAATCTGTAATACTTGTCAGTGATTCGGCCTCCACCCACTTGGTGAAATAATCTATCCCGACGATGATGTATTTTAGTCCTCTGGGAGCAGTAGGTAGGGGCCCTAGCAAGTCGATCCCCACCTGGCGAATGGAAGGTCAACTGTCATCAGGGTGTAGAAAGTAGCTGGCCGTCCGGGGATTGGTGCATACAATTGGCAGACCTTGCATTTTTTGGTATGAGAAAAGCAGTCTTGTTGGATTGTTGGCCAGTAGTATCCTTGCAGGATGATCTTTCTTGTTAATGTTTTAGGTCCCTGATGGCTGGAACATATTCCTTCGTGAATTTCTTCCATTACCGCCGCTGCTAGACCGGGTGGTAGGCACTTCAGATATGGTCCTCCAAATGTCTTTTTGTACAGCTGCCCGTCCACCAGCTCGAACATGGATGCCCTCCTCTGAATGCATTTCATATTGTATGCTGAATTTTTGTCTTGTGGGAGGGTCCCGTCCTTTAAGTAGTTGGTCATATCCGTGACCCAACCGGGAATGGCATAGGAGATGGCTTCTACCTGGAGGACCATAGTTGCTGGTGTTGTTAGGGTTTCCCGATGAGCAAACCGCTGGATGTGAGCCGGGATCATCTGTGCATGGTTATCAAGAGCCGCATTCTCCAATTTGGATAAGATATCTGCTTCCTGATTTTCTATCCTGGAAATCTGGTCGAACACTACATGTTCAAACTTTTCGATCTGTTCCTCGACCAGTTCCTTGTAAGCCTTCATCCTTTCTTCTTTAGTTTCGGCCTTACCATTCACTTGGTGGACCACCAGCTGGCTTTCTAACCGGACCTTGAGCCGATCGGCGCCCAGAGCCTTTGCATATTTTAACCCTGCAATGAGAGCCTCATATTCAGCCTCATTGTTGGTTACTTTGAAGTCAAAATGGATGGAGTAGTATGCCTTAAAACCTTCAGGTGATGTGATCACAGCTCCATCCCCACAGCCTTTAGCATTTGATGCACCATCTACGTACATTTCCCACCATTCATCCATCATGCTGCCTTTCGTCTCAATCTCCGAAGACCGAGCAGTACATTCTGCTATAAAATCAGCCAGTGCCTGACCTTTGATAGTGGGTCGAGGTCTAAAGTCCACCTTATACTGCCCGATCAGGAGACTCCCCTTTGTGATGCGCCCGCTAGCCATCGGATTTCTCAGGATGGTGGCCAGTGGCTGTGTTGTATATACGGTTATCGGATGTGCTTGGAAATAAGGAGCAAGCCGTTTGATGGCTGCTATTAGGGCAAACACCGTTTTCTCCATTAGAGTGTACCTAGTCTCTGGGCCGTGCAGGGCTTTACTCACAAAATATATAGGCCAACCTCTGGATGCCTTCTTCTTCTTTTAGCAACATAGAACTTACGGCTAGATCGGCCACATCAAGGTACATATAAAGATGTTCCCCTGGGTCAGCTTTTGTTAATACCAGGGGAGAAGATAGATACAACTTGAACTCTTCGAAGGCCGTTTGGCATTCGGCAGTCCATTCAAAGAGGTTTGCTTTCTTCATGATCTGGAAAAATGGAATTGCCCGATCAGCCAGTTTGGACAAGAACCTGCTCAGGGCTGCTAATCGACCGGTCAATTTCTGAACCTCCTTCAGGTTCCTTGGAGCCTCCATATCCATGATCGCCTTTACCTTCTCAGGATTAGGCTCAATGCCCCTCTCGCTCATCGTGTATCCCAAAAATTTGCTCCCCTTAACGGCAAAGGCACATTTTTTGGGGTTCAACCTCATGTTTGCTTTCTGCATTATCCCGAACACCCTTTCTATATCCAGGATATGGCTCTCCCTTTTCCGGCTTTTGATCAGGATGTCATCAACATAGGCCTCCATTGTGACCCCAATACTTCTTTGAACAACATTCCAATCATCCTTTGGAAAGTAGCCATTGCATTCTTCAAACGGAACAGCATAACAACATAGCAAAATACCCCGTCCGAAGTTACAAACGCTGTTTTCTCCGCGTCATCCGGGTGCATGAAAATTTGATGATATCCCCGGAACACATCCATGAAGCTTAAGAGCTCACATCCCGCCGTCTCATCCACTAATAGATCGATCCTCGGCACCGGATATGGGTCCATGGGACAAGCTTTATTCAAGTCGGAGTAATCTACACACATTCTCCAGGTGGACCCCTTTGGAGCTAGTACCACATTGGATAACCATTCAACATGGATCACCGGTCGGATGTGTTTTATCCCCAGCAAGGTAGCCACCTCTTGTTTCGTGAAATCACGCCGTTCGGTCGCCTTGTATCTTTTCTTTTGCTGAACCGGCTTTGTATCAGATCGAACGGCCAGCTTGTGGCAAATTATGTTTGGGTCAATACCCGGCATATCTTCTGGCCCTCGGGCAATCAATACCTGAAACGTTTTCAGTACTGTTATTATACCCTCCCGAATTTCAGCCTCCAGATCTGCCCCGATGGCTACCTTCCGATCGGGGGGAGAATCCAGGTCAATTTGCTCGAGGAGGGTGGCAGGCTCAGGATGTGCCTCGAACTCCATTCGGCGGGCTTCGACTTCAATGCTGTTAACCCGCATGCCTCGGGCATTCATGTTTTTCAAGGCCTCCCGATAGCACGTTCGGGCTGTAGTTGGATCCGTTCTGGCCACCCCAACCCCAGTGTCCGTGGGGAATTTGATACATGAGTGGCGGATAGAGGCTATCGCCTCCAAATCTTCCAATCCTGGTCGGCCCAAAATGGCGTTGTGGACACATTTGATATCCACTACTACAAACGTCATTCGGACTGATGCCCTGTGTGTTTCATCTCCAATCTCAATCATCAATTGGATGGTCCCTTCTGTTTCGATGCAATTGTCGGTGAAGCTTGCCAGTGGTGTCCTCAGGTGGTCAGCTGATTTTTCTGGAGGCCCATTTTCTCGAACGATTGTAGGTACAATATGTTCACGCTGCTTCCTGCATCGACCAATACCCGA